TTGCGGCGAGAGAGGGAGAGAGAGGAAAAAAATATAGGTGGAAAGATATAAATGGATAAAAAAAAAGAAAGAGAGAGAGAAAAAAGGCTAAACTAGTGGAGTAAGAAAGGATACAAAAAAAAAGACAGGCACATGAACCTTCTTTCCTTGACAGTAAACACATGATACAGCGTCGCCGCTCTCGTAAATATTGCACGCGTCCACTTTCGTCAATGTTTAAGTTCAAACTGTGCCGTACTGTTGCACTGCTCGAGGGGAATACACCTGCACTCGAATCATCACTCCTTTCGCCGGGAGCCTTGCAACGGCGACATCATGCTGGACGTGACTCTCGGGTTCAAGTAGAAGGGCATGAGGCGCGTGACCCTTGATCTTTTCGTGCCAAAACGCGTATAAGAGAGAGAGAGCAGAGAGAGAGAGAGAGAGAGAGAGAGAGAGAGAGAGAGAGAGAGAGAGAGAGAGAGAGAGAGAGAGAGAGAGAGAGAGAGAGAGAGAGAGAGAGAGAGGGAGAGAATTAGAGAGAGAGAGAATTAGAGAGAGAGAGTTAGAGAGTTAGGAGAGGTAGAGAGAGAGAGTTAGAGAGTTAGGAGAGGTAGAGAGAGAGAGTTAGAGAGTTAGAGAGAGAGAGTTAGAGAGGGGCAGAGGGAGAGGGAGGGAAAAAGAGAAAGAGAAAATGAAAGGGAAAGAGAAAGAGAAAGAGAAAGAGAGAGACAGAGACAGAGATGGAGAGAGCATAATACATCCACATTTTTTTGCATTTCTTGTTTTTTTCACTTTGAATATGAGATCTCTTACCGCTTTATTCTTCCAGCAAAGTTTTCATTCCTCTTTCTCTCTATCCCGTTGTTCTAACATTTCCACTTCTTTCTATATCGTGTTTTTTCGCCTTTATGTTTGCTGTGGTTATGTAAACTCCGTGAGTAACATTGCATCCTTAATGACCTTTATTGTATCTAAACCGCGCGTTGAATTTCTTTGGGAAAATACAATAATATACATACGTATTTGCATATCATATACGAAAATATATCTATATCTACATCTACATCTTCATCTACATCTGTATCTATATCTATACCTATATCTATATTTGTGCGTCTGTCTATATCTATATTTATTTCTATACCTATCTATCTTTATCTATCCACATCTATCTATCTATATCTATCTCTATCTATCTGTCTATCTATTTATCCATTCATCTATCTATGTATTTACCTATCCATCAATATATCCATTCATCTATCTATGTATTTACCTATCCATCAATATATCCATTCATCTATCTATGTATTTACCTATCCATCTATTTACCTATCCATCTATTTGTCTATCCATCTATCCGTCCATAGATCTACCCTTCTAAAAACACTTATATATACACATACATAACCCACCCATGTACCCCTTTACAGCATGACCGTCCCCCTGGGCTTCCCCTCGCTAGCAGCTATACTCACAGTGCAACCTTCCTCGTCATACTCGTGTTGACAGTTCGTGACGTTATTGCACCGCAGGGATATGTCGATGCAGCGGGCGTCGTCACAGTCGTACTCTTCCTCCGTGCACTGCGAATTCTCTCCTGTTTCGGGAAGACAAGTTGGATATCTTTGTCATCACGGTCCGTAAGCGGAGAGGGATTTTTGGCAGTCGTTGGTTTGGTATGGGAGCCCAAACTTGTTTTTTCTTTGTCTCTTTGTCTTTGTCTGACTGTTTGTTTGTCTATTTGCTTGTTTGATTGTTGTTTGGCTGTTTGTCTGTCTCTCATTCTCTCGTTCTCTTTCTCTCTCTCTCTCTCTCTCTCTCTCTCTCTCTCTCTCTCTCTCTCTCTCTCTCTCTCTCTCTCTCTCTCTCTCTCTCATATATATACATATATATATATATATATATATATATATATATATATATATATATATATATATATGTTTATATAATATATATATATATATATATATATATATATATATATATACATACATATATATATATATATATATATATATATATATATATATATATATATATATATATATATATATATATATATATACATATATATATACACACACGTATGTATATATATACATATATATATGTATATATAAATATATATATGTATATATATATATATATATATATATATATATATATATATATATATATATATATATATATATATATATATATATATGCACACCCCCACAAATATACATACACATACACACATACACAAACACGCACACACACACACACACACACACACACACACACACACACACACATATATATATATATATATATATATATATATATATATATATATATATATATATATATATATATATATATAATATATACACACACACATAAACAGAAATAGATGACACACATGCACACAAAAGAACAGACAGGTAGGTAGATATGTATAGCCAGACAGAGCGAATATTCATAGATATGTGTACACAAAGAGACGAAGTTATATAAGCTATATTAAATATTG